TTTTTGAAAATGCTCATTCGCTTCCTCTAAAATTTTCTTCCTCTTAAGAGCCGAGTCTTTGCACTTCTCTACATCTTCCACTATTTCAGCAAATTGTTGATCAACTTCACTACAGAGTCTCATAAAAAATGGATAAGTATCAAACCAAAAAGAGTTTTTTCAGGGAGAAAATGATATATACAATCCATGTAGTGATAAAATAAATCAATCTCCCTTTGTGTGAGTGGGTGGGTGTGACATAATTCGCAAATTGGAGGAGCACACACAATAAACTAAAAGACTCTCTAAAACCCTAATGGAATGAAATTATTATACCAAGAAGGGAATGCATAAAAGAACCAAAAGCAAGTGAGGGCAAGTTCAACACATGAATAAAATTGTACAACCACATCCAGGGTAGACCGGTCCAGGCCTACCCAGCTTCTACTACAACAAGGTATAGTACGAGTTAATTGAGCACAACCAAATGTAATAAGTAAAACGGATAATTGACTATAGGTACATTTTATAGAATTTATTTAGTTGTAAGTATCACATTCAGACTTATATTATATTAAATTATTTTTTTTATCAAATAGTTGTCAATAAGTACACATTTTAAATTCTTTTTCTTGTATTACTTAATTATATCTACAATAAATACTGCCTACATGATTGCTAGTTTCTATGTTTTTAAATATTTAAATATTAGATTTGAGACTTTCAACATTCACAACTCATGAAGAACTTCCACCGTTGATCAAGTCTATAACTTTTTACCGGCTACCCACTGAACCTTACAAATTTATAACAAAAAAAAAAAAAACTCAGACGAAGAAGAAGAAGAAGAATAAGAAGAATAAGGAGAAGAAGAAGAAGATGGAGTTGCATAAATGTTTTTATCCCTATGAACCCTTCAAGAGATTATAAAATTATCATCATTTATTAAAACTAAGATTGAGTGGTAGTCTTTTCATTAAAAAAAAAACTCTAACAAGGAAGAAGAAGGAGAAAGATCAATGCATGGAATTGCAGAATTGTTTTTATCCTTATGAACCCTTCAAGAGCTCAACATATCAACCTACTATACACAACTATGATACGATTTAGTCTAAACATGTAAGTCATGCTCACTACAATTTATATGCCTAAACAACATTATTCAATACTTAGAATAAAAATCCAAAAAATTGGCAGTTAAAACTTTCATGAACTTCCCCGTCACCTGCTAATTTGATGTAAGGTGAGCATCAACAACTCAATAAAGTAACTCAATTTCCAAACAAATGACTCTGAATATAACATAATTTAGCATGATTGGGAAATATCAAAACAACTTAGTTCATACATAAGTAATAGAGCAAGTAACTTTGAACGAAAGCATTTAAGTTGAAAACAATAATACGATCATAACATCAATACAATGTTGCATCGGTGAGCGATTATCCTAATAGACCATTCAGGATCCATACGAACATACGATCCAATATTTTGGGAGACTTTCACCTCGAGGAAGATACGCTTCCTAGTAATAATTTAGTACCCAAGTCTGAAGACCAACTAGACCATCCAAACATTTACGAACTCAATGAGTACCCTCTACGGCCTAAAACTGGAACGTAAACCCTCTGTCACTTGACCGCTGCGTACTTGCATTTAATTTCAAAAGGATCCCGGAGTTTCATTCAGTATAAACTATACAATAAATACGATCATTACGACCATTTGTGCGAACCACATCCAAATACCCTGATCCAGGTCTGGATCCAAGTTAATATTCAAAACACCCAATCATATATTTTAAAACATGCTCAAGAATCATAAATAACATATGGAATAATTTAGAAACAAGTTGAAAAAACATCGCCTGTTTCAGAATTGAGAAATCTTACCCTTCTTGATATTTTGATTTGAAATAGTCAAAAATTAAAAAATGTTATTTTTCCGTAACATTTAGCCCATATAATCCATTTAACTAATTATAAATTAATATAAAATATTTTTGGCAAAAATCACCAACAAATTGGGTCAAATTGGCCCCGAATGTCAAAACAGTTATATTACCCATCATTTTAATCTGGTCGTCGGATAGACTTGAAATTTTTTCGGGATCTCCGCATGGATGTTACGGAACGTTTGACATCTATCAGAGGTCGATCAGACTTTAGAAGCATCCACAATTTCTGTCGAAGTCCATTGGTGTCCTTTGCCCCACTTCATCTTCACGTTTGATTAGTTTGACTTTTGTCCTCAATGCAGAATTTTCTATTCAACCACCCTACTTTGACTCCATAGTTCTCCCCCTATAGTACACCATTTCCTTTGGTTTCAACTCCCACATACTCCTTGGACAACCTAGTTTTAATCCCTTCTAGACTCAACCTTCGAATTTAACTCTAACATGATCAAATTATTGGTCATAGTTGACCAAAAATTATTTTTAAACACAAGGGCAGACCCACAACTACGCGTTTCACCCCAAAACAACCTCTAAATCCAATTTCTAAGGCCGAAAATGGATTCCTTGACTCAAAATTAGCAAGACTCAAGCCCTTTTGCAAAGCTTAAACAAATTTTTATCAAAATCAAAATTTCACTTCTTCAAACCCTCATGCCACCGGTACACCACCATACACCACGAGGAACTATCGCACCACCACCAAACAACTCCTTAAGACCCCGCAAACTCAACCATGACAATCAATTAACCCAAAAAATGGTCAAATCTCAACCCATTTCAAAATTCAAAACCCACTAAACTTGAAAACACAAATTCTTGCATTAATACTAAATCAAATAAAAATTTAATTACATAAATGAGTTGCTAACATCCATATTAGACTAGTAGTATACCTCTTGGTGTTCAAATTTATCTCTACAAGAATCCAAAATTTCAAAGTCTACACTTTTTCTCTCTCTTCTGATTGGATTTTTCTCCACTTTTATACCTCTAAATAGGGCTGTCAAAATCTGATACGATACGATTAACCGACATGAATCGACAGGAATTAAGAGGGTTTGAGTGAGATCTTAACGGGTTTGAGTGATAAACGGGTTGACATGCTAAACACGTTTAATAAACGGGTCATGTTCGAGTGAGACATGTCAAATCGTTTATCACACATTTACCTGTTTAAATAAAATTAATATAATAATAAATTAATAATTATTTTAAAAATTTAGCAAAAAAAAAGGAAGTAAAGAAATCAATAAAAAAAAAAGAAGTAAAGTAGAAGTTTAAAGACAAAGGAGATGAGATGAGGAGTACTTCAAAGACAAGGGCAAAGTAATGTCTTTTATTTTTGTCCCACATCGGAAAATAAGGAGAGATGGGGAGGGCTAAGTTGCCTATAAAAAGCAATGGCCTCTTTTTTTTTTTTTCTAAGCCTTCAAGTCTTATTTTTATGAGATTTTGCTAAAAATTCCTCTTTTTTGAGGTAAGTGCAATTGACAATAAAAAAAATGGAGTATTAAAATTTGTTAACATAATTTTTTTAAAATTAAACGGGTTAAATGAGTCGTGTTGTGTTACTCGTTATTAAATGGGTCGTGTTCGTGTTGAAATTTTTTACCCATTTATTAAATATGTTATGTACGGGTTTATATATTTTTCACCCGTCACCCGTTTAATCCGACACGTAACCATTTAACCCAACACGTTTGACACCCCTACCTCTAAGCAGTGCACTCAGCCTTCCCCAAGTAGCTGGGTGGAAGCCATGCATCAAGAGGAAGCTCTAGCTGGCATTATGCAAGGCTAGAAGATTGGAGATGTTTCCAAGGGCATTTTGGTATTTTCATTCTTTTTGGCCAAATTTCAAAAATTAATTAAAAATATTATTTTTGTTTAAAACTACATACCTATTAAATCAAAGCACTAGAAAATTCGTTAAATTTTTGGACGTCGAATTGATCTCCAATTTGATTCGCTAATGCAACTCTCGCACTCTTGACTCACAGGTACACACTAATCATATTTTGTCCATTTGTGCTTCTTAGCTCATTTTCTCTTCATCAACCAAATTCCTACACCTAAAAGACCTTTTAACCATCTCCAAACAGCTACGCACCATTCTAGAGTCATCAGTTCATAGTCCGGCAATCCGTAATCTGAACCCCTAACCGCATGCACCCAAATTGTGATCCAATTTTTAATTGTCAAATACCAGGTTGTTACACTTCATCAATATCAACTGCTCAATCTCATGTAGCGCACCTTGTAAACAATTGTACAAGTTCATGCACCCACTTCCACTGCCAGTGAACTATAACTCACTTATAAAGTTATCATTCCATTCCTTATAATGCTTTCATTTACTCTTGTAGTTTGATTTTTCCAAAAACTACTCTGATAGATCCTTATTGGTGGGATTTATGAGGCCCCTGATCGAGTCCGTTATACCTTTCGAAAATGAACCTAGCTAGGCTAGCATAGTAGTCAACCACCGAGTCTCAACGTGAACTCTAAAACTCGAACCTTTAACTTCAAGATGAGAAGTTCGACTAGTACCCCATTAGACCACCCCACTCGGTATACTTTTGTTTATATGTTTGCATAGGAGTTCGATTACTTTTCTTTGTTTCTTCAAGTTGCCTCCATGAGTTATTGCATTGTTTTGTCTTGATTTGGAAGCAGACGAACCATTTGGTTTATCATTATTCTAGAAGTTGTATTTTCACTTCAATTTAGAGTTTTTTTTTACCTGAACTTCAATATAGAGTTACTTCGGTATAATTGGAATAGAAGATAATTCCAAAGGGTTAGACTGTTCATCGAAAACTGAAGCTCAAGAATAATTTAATTCTTTAACAAGTAAAAACCTTTTTTTTTTGTGTGTGCATTTTAACAATTAAAACATAGACGGAGAAAGAATATGGGAGATAAAGAGAGTAGACAATTGAAAAGAGAATACAATTGGAAGTTGACAACAACCATCGGATTGATAACAACAACGAATTTGGATCAAAATTATTCTTGTGCATGTGTACAATAACTAGTTATTTATAAATGGTTGTAATTTTTATTCTCCATTGAACTTATCTCGAGTTGTGGCTCCTTGTTTCACTGCTTTAAGTTCATTGATCAAAGCAATCAACTTGGCCTCAGATGAATTGCCACTCTCCACATCCTTCTTCATTGCAGCACCGAGCTCCTTCGCTTGTTTCCTTATCTCCACCATTTCTTGTCCACCACCCATCACCAAAGTCACTGCTTTCTCCACCTCCTCTCTCCTCACCAGCCCATTCACCCCATCGTACGAGATAGTCCATGCAGTCACTCCTACTGAAACACCACTCCTTGGCACCTTTCTTTTAAAATTTATGTTATTTTTATTTTTATTTTTTTTTGGGGGAGGGGAGGGGAGGGGAAAGAGGGCTTGAACCTTGACCTCAAGAAGATAGCTCCTTCAATGACCATGTGATCAAAGGCAAGCTTGCGTTCAACCCTTCAAGAAGAGAGTTCCACCCACAGTGTGTAACCATTCCTGTGTGTTGAGACTGAGTGGATAAATAATTTATTACTAGAGATACCTCTAATGGAAAAACTCATACCTGCCATTTCATTACACTATGATAGTAAGACAGTGATTGAGCTTGTGAAGCAGAATCATAATAACAAAAGGATTAATAGACATATACAAGTGAGATATAAATCAATAAAGAAAAATGTTGAGTAAAAACATAATCTCACTAGACTTTGTGAAGTATGAGCAAAATATAGCTGATCAACTAATTAAAAGGCTTTTGAGAGAAGCTGTCTCAGAACTGTCGAGGGGGATGGGCTTAAGCCCACAAGGGAGTCACCTAGGAAGATAACCCAACTTCTGTGATTGGGAACCCCATGAAAGAAGTTCAATGGGTAAAAACAATTCATACTGCGTGACTCATTAACATTGTTAATTAGGAAATATCCAAGAGGAGATATTTTCCTACTCATCCCTATGGCAGAAGTGCATATGTAGTGTGACGATAAGAAAGGGTTTTACCTTGAATGAGATCGAGGCAGGAACACTCCTGCAGGATATTGTGCACATGTACCCTTGGAGGGCTCACCTAAGTGAGAGTAGTCGTGAGACCACGACTATGAGAATTGGGCTATTCTCTAGAAACTCTTATGAGAATCAAGATCAAGTGCATGACCATTAATAGCACTGACCTGCGAATCTTAACCAATATCGGTACTGTATGTGTTACATGTTGAACTCTGGTTCAAAGGATCTAGTTCAAGCCTTTGGTCACTATGATTCTTCAGAGGAAAACTGTTAATACTAAGTGAGATTCAAGTTTGGAAGACACCTACATTTATTACACTGTATAATAGTTGCCCATATTTTCTATATTAAAAAATATACAAAATATTTGAGATACATTGAAGTTTCAAAAACTAGTGGGGGATTGTAAGAATAAAATTAAGTTTTTAAAACTTTTATTGGATTTCCATTTTAATCATGTTTAAATTGTGAATTTCAGTTACATATTTTTTAATTGACTTTAAATATTGAATTTTAGTAATTGCAGATTTTATTTCATATGTTACACAAGTTTAGTGGCAATTCAAATGACCTATTTAAGACATAACGGTAATATTCTAAATGTCTTTTAATTTGGCTAGTAAATTCTATTTAGACCTTGAATTTACTATTGGGTTATTTCTGTTCCTATATAAACCATTCGGTGGAGCTATTCTAGAATATATACTGAAATCCATTCTTGAGTTTTCTAAGTTTTCCCTATAAAGCTTTTCTAGCTTTGTCAGCCTATCTTTCTAAGCTTTGTTGAGTTTTCTAACTGTTCAGCTTTTGTCAAATCCATTTCAATATTCATATTGACCAATTTTTTCTTATATATTTGTACAACTACAAGCACATTATATTTACTTGTGTTTTGGGTAACTCTGATTAGTGTCAAGTTCACTCTTTCCTTCCAATGGACATGACCATTGAGAAGGTGCTACTGCAAGCGTCTGGGTTGGATCTTGAAGTCGCTGGTGTCCGTCACTACCCTCACGTGAGGAGGCTCAGCTACTTTAGGACAGTAATCACACGTCTCTCGGGCTCGCAAGTCAGCTCTTTTCAAATTAATTTATTTGATTTATATAGATTGCATATTTATACATTTTCTGTATTTATTTAAATTGCATGTTATATTTTTAATGATCTAACTACTGTTTGCATGCTTTATTTCGAATTTTAGATTATAACACTCATAGTTATTTTGCTCACATCATAATTCTAATAATTGTTGATTTGACCAAAATTCAGTAGCAATTTTTCTTAATAACAATTATAAAATCTATGCTTAAAATCTATAATTATTTCTACAAAGGGCATTGTAGGGAATGCTGACTATTGTGACAGTAACGCCATGAGCTGCAAATAGTCTTGCTGCTTCGACCATGGGGATCATGTGGCCTGAGGCCAAGTATGGAAGAAAGATGATGTTGAGTTGATTGCCCTCAGCCGCCATACATGGGTGATTGCTCAGTCTTGGAAAAATGATTTGAAGATGCAAATGTCAAGAGATGTTTGTCTTTTTATAGGAGCTCATTTGCTAATCTTCATTAGATGATATAGTGCTAAACTAAAACTTGTTAAAATATTTAGTACATACACTCACATCCTTATACTATAAAATAGGTACGTCCCTATACTGTTCGTACAGCGTGGTCCATATCTCCTTGCCTTCTTCAGAGTAATCTATGGGACTAAAAAAAAATTTAGGACCGTAGATATTTCTCGCAGATATTTTATTTGTCACTGTTTGATGAGCCTAAATCTAATCAGACGAGACCGGATAAATCAAATAAGCCCAAATCAGCTAAAAGGATCAGTCAAGCCCAGCTCATGAAGTCTACCCAGTCGAAGGCCCAAGGAGTCCAAGAAGATTAGAGCACGTGAGAAGTAATTATCGGGATACCAACTCTCGAAGATCAAGAAGGTCTTTAATTATACTTACCTTCTGTAGCTATCCTCCCGAACATTTAGCATCTTTACCCTCACGTCACTGCTTGAACCCAGGCTCCGTGCCTATAAATTTTAAGCTCTCTCTACATAAGAGGACACCTCTCTACATAACCCTCACATAGCTTTTCTCTCTCCTAGCTATTGTACCTCCCCTAGAGCTACCAATTGCTCTCTTTTTCTCTCTATCTCTCTCAACTTACCTCGTTAATAAAGGTTTTGCAGCCACCGTTGCCATTTCTCAAAGCGGAGTAGGTCACCTGGACCGAGAGGAGGCTCTACCTCCACCTCCGCCAGCACCAACAAAACCGCCCACTACAGCAACTCCTGTGGTCGGGCAACAGCTTTTGGAAACTATGTAGTTGTTGGTAAGCCAAAACCAGCAAATCATCCAACTGATGCTCATCTCAGGAGGTGTTTCCCCTCAGCCTACAGAAGCAGTACTCCCTCCAATTGGAAAGGTGTCACAATCTCCCCACTCTTGGCTCCAAGGCGCCCCCCGCCATAGCACTCGACGCCAGGGCACCCCCTTGTAGCGCCAAGGCATACATCGCCAAGGAGTCCCCCCACTGCGCGCAGACACCTCACATATTCCCCCTCCTCATGTACCTGTTCCACACACAGCCAACCATCCCGGATAGGAGGATGAGAGGGAGAACTAGTATGCAGATCATGGAAGCTATTACAATAACCCGACAGAGCATGTTCCTAACCAATGGGATAAGAAGATCAAGGAGGTGTAGGACCAGCTGGGCAATGCCCTCAACTCCATCAAAGCACAAGCACTGAAGACGGTGGATTATTTGGTAAGGCGTACTGACACCTCATTTATTGCAGATGTTGTCAATTACCCCAACCCTTGAAGTTCAAGATGTCTGCCATTGAGGTCTTTGACGGCACCAAGGACCCTCTGGACCACCTTGACACAGATAAATCTCTCGTGCAAATCCACAACGTACCTGATGAGATTATGTGCAGAGCTTTTCCTACCACCCTCAAGGTATTCGCATGCCAGTGGTTCTCTAAACTCAAGCCTTCTTCCATTCACTCCTTTGAGAAGTTAAGCAAGTCTTTCATTTCTCACTCCATTGGGGGACGCCGACATCAGAAATCAGTTACCCACCTACTCACCATCAAGCAAGATTGGGATGAAAGTTTAAGGAATTACCTCACTCATTTTAATAAGGAGGCTCTTCATACTGAGGAACCAGACGACATGGTAACCATGGCCACCTTTATTGTGGGACTGCGCTTCTCTAGCTTCATGTTCTCTGTCCTAAAGAAGTAGCCCTCCAGCATGCCCAAGTTGCTATAAAGGACACAAAAGTACATAAACGCCGAGGACGTCACTAAAGCCTAACAAGGTGAGCCCTCTCAAGGATAGGAGAAAAGAAAGGACACCCACAAAGACAGAAGAGAAACATAAAATAAGAAAAATAGGAAAGAGATAGTCTTTGCCAAGTACCTCCTTGGTCTCCCACTTTTGAAAGAACGACAAGTCTTTACACGACTCAACGCTTCGGTGGAGGATATCCTGTTCCAAATACAACATGACCCTACTCCACGGTAGCTAGCAAAAAATGAAGTTAGCCCTTAACCAAAGAAATTTGAACAAGTACTGTTGCTTCCACCGCGACCACGGCCACAATACTAATGATTGCTTTGACCTTAAACGGCAGATTGAAGAGCTTATACTGCGTGGCTAGTTACGGTAGTACGTTGCTAGTAGAGAACAAGCCCCGCCACCTGATAGGAAGCAGAATGACATAGAGCGCCAATAGCCTCTCGGAGAAATTCAGAAGATCTCTAGATGGTTAGGAGGAGAAGGTGACTCTAACTCTGCCAGGAACGCATACGCCAGGAAAGCCAGACAGGGAAAGTCGAACGTCTCTCGTCCGATGAAGACAACCCAACACAGGGAAAAAGAGGTCATCACCTTCTCAGACAAGGACCTTAAGAGGATCCAGTCCCCCCATGATGACCCTCTGGTCTTAACCATGATGGTAACCCACTGCCAAGTGAAGAGAATTCTGGTAGACAGCGGTAGCTCTGCCGACATCCTATTTGCACCAACGTATGAAAGCCTTCATTTAGGCAGGGATAGATTGCAACCCATTAGAACGCCCTCATCAAATTTTCGGGCGAGAGGGCTCATCATTTGGGTTCCATCACTTTGCCAGTCACAGCAGGTACAACACCAAGAAACTCCACCATCATGGTAAACTTCATAGTGTTAGACTGCCCTTCTGTCTACAACGTCATACTTAGACGCACTGCACTCAATATCTTAAGGGTAGTGCCATCCATCTCTCACCTTGTTCTTCATTTTTCAACACTCTGTAGGATCGGAGAAGTTAGAGGAGATCAAGTTGCTGCCAGAGAATGTTATGTGGCCTTTATGAGGACTAAAAAATCCCAAAAGGCCCTCTGAGTGGAAGTACTCAACCCTAAGGATGATAGCACACTAAAAACAAAAATGTCTTGGCCTACCAATGGGACACCGAACACTTGAAGAGCTATTATCAATAACAGGTGCAAGCTAGTGGCTTTAATTTTATCTGCCCTTTATTGTTTCAGTTGATTTATTCTATTATTTATTATTTTATAAAATAAAATTCTGTGAAGATTTTTGTATCCAAAATTGTCTTGCTTTCATTTCAAAAATTTTTTAAACAGCTTACAAAAGTCAAAACATGACCTAACAACAAGGTGGGTAAAAAGGTAAAATTCGTCATACTATTGACAATTAGTCACTACTCCGCAAGCCACCATCATCAAGGCTCTTCCCCTTACTATACGGGACGAGGCCAGAGTAATTAATAATAGATAAAATTGTCAAGCTCTTCATAACCATCAATAAAGGCGCATGTAATGATCCTCTCAACAACCTTCCACCTCATCTCCATCTCTATGGAATGGGTCTCTACCACGGCAGCCCTCTCTCGAGCTGTACGTAGCTCGATCTCAACTCTGGCAACCCTCTCGCGGGACGCTTACAACTATGACTCTGCTCTTATGAAGACATCACCTTATCAATCTCTAGCTTCATGCTCTCTTACGAGTTGCTAAGAGACTTGGCCTAATCGTATCTCTGCTCCCAAGTAGTCTAAGTATCCAGCTTCGTACTCTATCGCGAGTCGCTAAGAAGCTCGGCCTAATCGTACATCTGCTCCTAAGTTGTCTATATATCCAGCTTCGTGCTCTTTCACGAGTCACCAAAAAGTTTAGCCTAATGCTACCTCTGCTCCTAAGCAGTCTATGTATCCAGCTTCGCGCTCTCCCGCGAATCGCCTAGAAGCTCGGCCTAATGTTATCTCTGCTCCCAGGCAACCTCAATCTCCAGTTTCGTGCCTCTCTTATGAGTTGCCAAAAGCTCGTCCTAATTCCATCTTTACTCCCAAGTAGTCTATGTATCTAGCTTCGCACTCTCTTGTGAGTTGCCAAGAAGTTCGGCCTAATGCTACATCTGCTCTCAAGTAGTCTATGTATCCATCTTTGCGTTCTCTCACAAGTCGCCAAGAAGCTCAGCCTAATGCTACTTCTACTCCTAAGCAACCTCAATCTCCAGCTTCGCGCCTCTCTTACGAGTTGCCATAAGCTCAACCTCAAGCGGTGTTACTCTCTCATGAGTTAGCCTCAACTGTTCCTCAGCGATCTCTCAAAGCCTGCCTCTCTTTTGTTAGATCCCTAGATGTCTTTCCAAGTGATATCTTCCCTGAAGAAAGGCAGGAAAAAAAAAACAGCAACCACCTAAAAGCATTCAAAAAATAGAACATAAAGGAAAGTAGGCAAGTACAAAATCAAAGTTGAATGAAAGGCATAGCATGGAAGAACCCTCCATCGCGGTATTGGTAATACCCTTTGGACCTCGAAATCCAACCTCTCTGATATCCCTGGGAGTCACAGACCTCCAAAGCCACTCCTTGACCAAGTCAAGTCAAAGCATGGACACCAAGCCATAACTAGAAGCAGGACAGTTATGTGGAGTTACAGTCCTAGTAGAAAACCGCATTGGAGTCTCAACCCCTACAATGATACAATGGCTAGTTTTGGTACACACAGGGGTCACAGTCTGGGAAAGAGTGGAGGCACCACCAAATCCCGCTCCTGGGAAGCAACCTGACCATCAGATGTTGGCCGAAAAATATTGGGGGTATCAGACCTCGCCCTCTTGGGAGGAGGGGAAGATGTCACCGTAAAAGTATAAAGAGCCCCACCATTGCTCTGTCAATAGGCCACTTGTAATTAGAGATGAGATCAATATAAAGAACCAACATCGAGAAAAAATTAAGGAGAAAGCTAGGATCACTCTCCACCCATTGGGAGCCAACATTCCAGGAGCCAGCGATACGAAAATACAATATGTGCAATGTCCTCATCGCAGTCAATGGAGCTGGATATGGAAGTCACCTTCGATCCATTATCTCCAACAGTCCCCTCGCCTAGCTCAATGACTCGAGTAGCCTCCCCCATAATGTGTTTGTCAGAATGATTGCCTGGCAACAAACAGAACGAAGATGGAATCAAAGTCAATGTCAAGGGAATACTAGTGTCTGTTGAACTCTTGTGGAGTCTAGCTGTGTTAGATCCGAATGGTTATGTCTTCAGTTTCAATCCAACAAGGACTTTATAACAATCTGAGACGAATCCAACTACGTCTATGTTGTGCTACGACTAAATTTCGGGAATCGACCTGCCCGGTAAGGTGGCAAGGGCTCGGGGGCAGCACCTCTGAAACCTAAACAATTTTTTAAATCACATAATAGGTTTTTATCATGAAAACTGTAAAGAAAAAAAAATAGTTTGCAAAGTTCAGAGGCCTCCATGGCGTCACTTGTTGTCGGCCTGTCTGCCTGGTGTCGCCTAGTGCCTATCCAGCGCCTTGCACCTAGATAGAAAATTGAGGTCGCTCGAGCTCTTGTCAGCCAAGGCGTCACCCACTCCCACACAGCCATCACCGCCCATGCCACTAGCATCGAGTCCTCTTCCACGGGCGCAGTCTGATGCCCTATGCGCCTTAGGCGTCGTCAACAAGCCCTTCCGTGCCATGGGTGTCACCAGCAAGCCCCTTAACGCCTTGGGCGTCACCTACCCAAGCCTCTCTGACGCCTGCGCCCAGCATCGTCTTGGCATCCCCTCATCCCTCGCACTACATGGCATCTTTACAACCTAGGGTGCCATCTCTACCATCTTCTTGTGCCTCTCTGCCTCTTAGTGAATTATGGGGTAAGGATGTAAGGAGTGTTTCTAAGCTCTCGTTCTAAAAGAGATGATTTGGGGAAGATGGGGATGTTCTTTAAACTCCTAAAGGTTGGTGCCCAAAGTTAGAAAGAGGGATTCTGAGTTTAGTGAAGACCAAGCACAAAAGATATGGTTAATACAATGGGTAACCAACCATGGAGCAATCAGAAAAAGAGGAAATTTCCCAGAGTACAGGAGCAAGAAGCTCAACAAACTAACACTATAGAGAACAAGAAACCTCTTGCCCACTCAAAATGAACAGGTCACTCATGCCCTCAATCTCCTTGGCACCTCAAGGACTTGGGGCATGGGGGGCAAATGATAAGCTCAAATCTAACCGAGTCAAGCCCGATAAATCAAGTAAGCCTAAATTAGCTAAAAGGATTAGTCAGGTACAACTCATGAAGTCTACCGAGTCTAAAGCCCAAGGAGTATAGTTTTAAAACCCGGCCCGAACGTCAACCCGACAAAAGGACTAGGTCAATGAGTCACTGGTCGGACTGGTAATATAATAAAAAAATTAATAAATAATTATAAATATTAATAAATAGGCTAAAAAATCACAATAATTATAAAAAATAACATCAAACATGTAGAGAAAAATCATCAAATATGTATACAATTTTAATGTATTCAAATTGATAATGCAACAACATTAGATTTCCAGAAAAATAGGAATCAAAACGCATTTCTTGATCATAGAGTCTTGAGATTAGGGATCTAGCAAATACAAATTATTCAATGACACTGATCAAACAGAGTCAATTTGAACAAACCCATTTTGATTGTTGTACAATATGGTGCAAAAAATCCAAGAATAATATGTGTCAAGAAAACAGAGAACCACCATATCACAAAACTCTCTCCCACACAAACTACAGGTACAGGTACAGAAACATAAACATATATATATATATATATAAACACATATAGGTGGACAGCGAGAGAGAAAAGGGGGGAGGGAACTCACCTCGTCACTGGACTGGAGACTGTGCTCCGTGGTTGGAGCTGCTGGTGCCTCGTGGATCTGTGCTCAGTCGATGGTATCTAGTGGAGTCGCTGGTGCCTCGTGAAGGTTTGCTCAGCCGATGGTGCCTGGTGGTCTGTATGGCTCGATTTAGGGCAATGAGGTTTGGAACTCTAGTTAACTGGATGGATCGAGAGAGAGGATCGAGGCATTGCTCAGTCAATTGTGTTGTGTCGTCTGGCCTGGAACGGTTAGGGCAAAACAAAACGGGAAAATACACAAAATACCCAAATGATGAAAAAATCTCAAATTTATAGAAATGAAATTAAACCGGCCGGTTTGCTAAACTCGTCCGGTTCTCACGGGTTTACCAGTTTTTAACCGGTTTAACGGGTTTATACCAGGTTCCTTACATAAACGATCTTTTATTAAAATCAGCCTGGTTAGGGGACCAGTTCACCGGGTTGACCCGCCTAGCCGGGTAGGATTTTAAAACACTGCCAAGGAGTCCAAAATATTAGAACACGTGGGGAGCAATTATCGGAATACCCACTTGCGAAGATCAAGACAGTCTTTAATTATACTTATCTTGTGTAGCTATCCTCTCCGAAGATTTAGTATCTTTATCCTCACGTCGCCGTCTTAATTAAGACTCTGTGCCTATAAATTGTAAGCTCTCTCTATAAGATAGGACACCTCTCTACACACCCCTCACATAACTTTTCTCTCTCCTAGCTATTGTACCTCTCTTGGAGTTAACTATTGCTCTTTCTCTCTCTCTCTCGCTCCCATTCACCTTACCTCATTAATAAAGGTTCTCCGGCCACCGTTGCCATTTTTCGGAGTAGAATAGGTCACTCAGACCGAACCACTATATATTTGTGCATTAATCCAATATTTACTTTTTTGTCATTGGTTGTTTTATTAATTGTCTCATTAATTTCCTTGGATCATACACTCAACTGTTGACCTTGCACGAGACTATTTTGTACATCATCACTGTTATTGTTATTTTTATCACTATTGTTATACGTAAAAAAAAATAATAAAAATAATTATAACAATAATTATAAAAACACTAATAGCAGTAATAAAAGCAACTAGAAGGGAGTAAGTTATTCACGGATATCCTAAAAACCCATGATTTACATGCATCCAATAAATTTTGGCACTTTTGTATCTCTTTTGCCATCTTCCCCTCACACGAATTCACGTCTTGCCATGCACTAGTCCCCAGAACAACACTCCATCCATCACCGAGTTTGTTACCAATGTAAAGTACTTTTCAAACATATTTACTAATATGCGGTAGTTTTGAATTTATCTACTAATCTACACCATTTTTTAAAATCGAGGTCAATAAATTCACTTTTAACAATAAAAATAAAATCAACAACTCCATTTTTGATGAAAAAATAAATAAATTAGTAAGCGTACTCAAGGAATACGCTTTCCTTCTTGGCACCAACGGTGAGACGCAATGGGCCTTTTTTTTTTTTACATCCTTTGTCATTTCATTTCATTACATCAATTATATTTTGGTAAAACTATTAGTTAATGAAAACATAGATTTTATAAATAATAAATATAATAAAATAAAGAAATGAAAATCACAAATAAAATAATATTATGAAATAAAATAGTGCTTATACCAATGGCGGTGGATCTTGTAAGAAAAGAAGATCAACTTAAAAAATTAACTTAAAAATCTGACCATGAACATTTAAAAGATTTTATTTTCATAATTTATATCTTAATTCATAAAATATTTCGAATATTTTGGATGATATAATTTTTTTTTATTTGATCAAATTGAATTAAAAATCAATTGTAATTTTTAAAAATTTAACTTAATCGATTTATTTGGATTGTGAAAAATTTATAAACCCTAAAATTAAATTCGACTCAGAATTATGTTACTAAATTATGTCTCGATAAAATTACTAATTCAAGTTTGTTAATTGGTCAATATTTAACGATCTCAAAATTTAAGTCCTAAAAAAATAATTGAATCGGGTTTGTCAATTCGTTAATATTTAACGAATTTAATTTTTATGTCCTAATAAAATAATTGAATCCTAATTATTTTACAAGTGATAGTTTAAATGATCTTACGGAATAAAATGATGCCAGAAATACGAGCAATATGTGCAGGGTGATACCAGAGAGCATTGCTTGAGACTTAGGAAGACATGGGAAGATGTGTAGTGTGTGGGTGAGAGAAAGCGTATTCATTGATTACGCTCTCTAATTTTTTTTTCTTTTATCAGTAAAAGCACGGTTGTTGATTCCGTTTTTATTGTTTAAAGTGGATTTTTTGACTCCGCTTTCAAAAAATATCATAGATTAATAATAAGTTTAAAATTATAGTATATCGGTTAATATATTTGAAAAGAGTTGTACATTTGTAATAAACTCATGTTAATTGTGTGTGTGTGTTTGTGTGTGTGAGAGAGAGAGAGAGAAGTGGGTTGGAGGTGGGCAAGTGGAACAACACTGGAGTGGAGCTATGTGGTGGGGAGCTGTGTTTGAAAACAAAAAAGCAAACGAGTTTGGTTAAAACAACAAACGTGTTTGTGTGGTCTAAAGTTAAAATAACAAACGTGTTACGTTGCAGTTTTATACTAAATTAGATGTTTGTTTTTTGGACCATTTTTTCCCATTAGTATGCTTGTCGTGAAGAGTTGTTTTTTTAATTTCAATTATGGGGACTAACCCAAA